CGGAGCGAGCGCTGCCCTGCCGGGGAAACTGAGGCCCAGGCCGGGGTCTCCGGCGTCGCGTGCTCTGTTCTCCCATTGGGGACTGACAGGCTTCCATTCCCCTCCTGCCCCGCACCGTGTTCCTGGCACATAGGAAAGACTCAGTAAAGGGTTCGCAGAGGCACCGAACGCAGACCTGGGATTTGAACCCTCTCCCTCGTCTCCTGCCTGCCTGCATCCCCGCCTGAGGATGGGGTGAGCAGTGTCGGAACCGAGTTTGGTCCTCTCGGATTCCTGCACAGAGCCGAGCACAGTGCCAGGGTCGTCCAAGCCTCCTGAGTCTGAGCCATCAGCGAAGGGTTGGTGCAAGGCGGGTCGAAGGCACTTTTACACAACTGGATGTTTTAAGGAACCGTTTCTGTTTTCGTCTGAACACACACACACACACACACACACGGCCATTTTTTTCATGAGTTTGCGTATATCAATTAAAATTAAGGAGCTTAGTGCTGGTATGGAATTTTTGTTTAAAAGATACAAACAGCCTTAATTTTTGCGAATTTGACCACGGCTCCTTCTCCATCAGACCTCTGCTGTCTGCAGGACTGTCTGCAGAGGGAAGAGTGAAGCTGCCCACTTCGTTCGTTGGGGTTTCTTTTAGTTACTCAGAGGCACCCATTAAATCCTCTGTATGTATTAGGGTGCCATTTTTTGTCTTGACACCCAACTGGAGTTGGGAACTGTGCTTTACGACTTTGGTTTTGCTCGTTTTTTTAAACCTGAATGTATTTAAGCCTCCCACCCACCCAGGACAGAACTTCTTCTGGCTTCTGACAGAAAAGCCAACCCTGCAGGACAGGGTCCCACTGCTGAAAGGAGGGCCTCCTTGGACCTGGAGGAGAGACATCTATTTTTGGACAAGCAGAAGGTCTCAGGGGTCTCAAAGACAGGCAGTCTGGGGGAAGGTTGACCAGACGCGGCCTCTATTGGGCCTTTCAGTTGTAAGAGAAAAGGATTCAGAGTTGTGAGTCTCTGATTTAAAATTGCATCGATTCTCAGTCCACTCCATGAAGGATTTGGGACCTATAAAAGCCATTCCCTGGCCGTGCCTCTCTCCCTCCCACGCTTCATCTCCACCCCAGGCCAGTGTAAGTGAACAGACAACCTGACTTCACGCTCTTCATGTGCCACATCCTGTTTTCAGATTAATGAGCTCATTTGGTGGAAATTTACTAAGGGAAATAGTTTAATTTTGGAAAGTACCAAAAACTTATCTTTAGTCACTTGGCTTATTTTGGGGGGCTCTTGAAATAGAGGGGGCATCACCGGAGGACCTCTGAGTGCTCAGAGAACAGCGAGGCTGCAGAAATCGAAAGCCAAGGCTCATGAGGCTGAACCTGACTCAGAAAAGAAATGAAACCCTTTGGAGACCACTCATCTCTACCCAGTAGAAATTTTTTTTTTTTTTCTAAAATTAAGTTTAAAAAGAAAAGTAGTCCACCTGGCTAAGGCCTAAGATCTGGTGGTGAGCATGGGGTCACGACGGAGGAACAAGGAAGCAAACCGGGGGCCGTAGGGCGTGTGGAAGCCTCGGCACTCCCGCTTGCATCCACATCTGGTCTGCTTGTTCAAAGAGGCACCAAAAGGCTTCCATTCTCCAGTTTTGCTCTTGACATTGAAATTGCCTGCCTAGCCTCATAGCCTTTTGAGCTTCTGGCTCCTGTCAGGAACTAAGGACTGAATGGAAGGAGGACTGGGATATTAAAGTTTTGTGAGCCATTCTGCATTGAAGATGGTAGAGTACATGTGACCAGCTCCTTAAATGTCTTACCACCTCCTGGCCAGCCCTATTTCCTAGAGCAGAGATTTTTAATCCCTTTTAAGGTACAGAGTAGAAAAATGGTGAAAACTGCCAAGGCCCTGACAATTTAGTAGTGGGATGAAAGGAATTATGTGTTCTCTCTGCCCCCGTCTGAAATCTGCAGTGATCTATTGGAAGCTATATTTATATGTTGCAATGGGCACTGGACCAGGAGTCAGGAGACCTATGTTCTGCTTTATCCTCCTGCCACTCAACCAGTTGTTTGGGGAGAAGTATGGGAAGATAAATAAATGAATGTTTAGTACTGATTCAAGAAATTATAGTTTATAGATACTTTTTTTTTTTTTTTTAGCAGAAAATTACCTTAAAGAGCAAAGCACCTCTGAAGTTCTTTGAATTGTAGCCTCCAGAACTGTCCTTATGATTTTTCCAATTATTTGTGGGACTGGCCACTTTGGAAGTGCAATGTGGGTTTCGATATATGATGGGGGTGCCAGTGCCCCTCATGGTGATGGTGACACGGTCCAGGAGAATTGCTTGGCAGATAAATCCTTTGATAAGCAAAGCTCCTAAGATGCCAATAACGCGGAAGGCAAATATTGTTAGATTAATACTATCTGACCTATTGCTTCTCTTTGGCCACCCAGGTGCCCTGTTCTAAGAGACTGGTTTGGCCATGTGTCAAATTACTACTTTCATGGACCCTGGCAATAAAGACTTTCCCAAAGGTGGACAGCCTGGGCCTCCAAGGCCCTTTGCTGGCCTAGGGCATCGTTGCTCTTCCCTCACGAGGTTGAGTTTCCTGGGCTTTCGGCTGGTGCAGAACAAGAATGACTCAGTGTTCTAGCCCAACAGCAGTCACCGTCTTGCTGGGGAGGCGTGCAGCCTGGAGGTCCTCATCTCAGTCCATCTCGAGGACTTAGCCCGAGAGAGAAAAATCAGGGAGCGGAGCGAACTCTTACTCAGGAATCAGGAGATCTGCCTCTGCCGTTGACTGCAGGGCTGTGAAGAAGCTCGCTCCCTCCTATCCTTGGGCCTCATTTTTCTCATCTGAAAAATGGGAGAATGACCTCAGAGGAATCCTTCAGGGCAAACCCCGTAACTATTCAAACCCTGGTGCTGGGTTAGGGGTGAAACTCTCTGTCTAGGAGCCATTCTCCCCACCTGAACCAGGAACCCCTCTAACACATGCTGGAGCTTCCACAAATTGCCTGATTTTTTGGATTCCAGACTTTTTTTTTTTTTTAATAGAAAGCAATGTGAAAAACCTCACATTTTTTTTTTTTTTTTTTCAGAGCTGAAGCCAGATGAATTTCCAGCACAAGTCAAGACTTGGAAGCAAGAATGTGGGGGCGGGGAGTAAGAGGCTAAGAACCAGGAGACAGCCTGTGCTCCTTCAGAGAATGCCCAAGCTGGAGGCTGGGAGGGCGGTGAGTGTGGGCTTGGTGTTTGCTCATCTCCTCTGATCTTCTCCTCTCACAAAAGGGGAAATGGGCCCAGAGAAAGGTACGAGCTTGCATCGTGAGTCAGAGGTCCGGAGGCCTCTTCTTCTGTGTTCTGGTACCCTTCGGTCCCAGGATGTCTTAACAATATCCTGTCCTTTCTTGTTCCTGCATTCACTTCCCCTTGGATATCTCTCCACAAGACGGCCCGGGAGCGGGGCACGTGAGTGTTTGTAGGCCGTTTGTGCCCTGCCTACATCTTGCACACAGGAAGTGAGGGTTCAGGGTGGCACAGTAAACATTAAGAGAAACTATTTGCCATTTTAGGAGGATCTAGGAAAATATCATTCCTACCTTTCACATTGGTAGGTTGCCAAAATGTGTTCAACAAATACAGTTTTAGCTTCTACCATGAGACAAGTTGCTCTTTTTCAAAACAAGTGTAGTATATACATCTAGTGACACTTTCTGAGAAGATCATTCCTAATCATTTTGGAGCTATATAACTGAGGCATTTTTAAAATGTAAAATCTGATGGACAAGAAAAGCCATTCTGTCTAGCTGCCATCCTTGATAACTATCTTCTGTCAGCAGTGTCCAACCACACAGACAGAGAGCCTGGGGTAGGGCCCACAGCTCTCCCTGGCCCCTCTGATTGCTGAAACTGGAGCTGCCTGGGGAGGCTGGGGCCCTGGCACCAGCTCCTGCTTCTCCTTTCACAGAGAACATGTCTGCACATGAGCCCTCCCAAGCCACCTTGGAATCCCTCCAAGGACAGACCTGGAGACGGTCCAGGAGGGAGGGTGCTCCTGGGAAGGACACATCTATGGGAAGCAGAGACTGCAGCGTGCAGGCACATATGTGCAAATGCTTGCAGGATGGCCAGATCGTCCAAGTTTTTAAGAGAAACTGGAATTATAGATTTTTGTGTGAAATGTCTTGATTTTTAGAATACTCCGTGAGTCAAAAAACAGACTCGAATGAAACGAGCATCCCACAAACTGTGTCTGCAGGCCACTACTTGCAACCTCTGATAGAGCCTGGTATACCATACACACAACCTCAGCAGATGAGCTAACACTCCACAGGTAGCTCACCCAGGCTTTGCCATTGTATGTGTTTATCCAAGTGCATACCTTGCGTGCACATAACAGACACCAGTCATTAAACATTTATGAACACATGCTATCTCCTAGGATATCATTATAATATTTCCATTCTCCAGCTAAGGAGATCGAGTATTGGAAATCTCCAAGGTCACGTAGCTAGCTAGTGGCTGGACCTTCATCCCAGGCTGCTTGACCACAAAGCCAGTGTTTTGACTGCCACACAAATTGCCACCCAGATGCCTGCGCTCTGAACTGAAATTCCAGGTAATTGGCTTCCTTTACTAAACTCAGCTCTGTGAGTTCAGAGACTATGTTTTGTTTGTTGTTGCATCCACATCACCTAGCACCGTGCCCAGGCGAACGTA